CCAGCCAGAAACGACTTCACGGCACACCATCATCACCCGCATTCTTTCTGTATCACTTCCTATTTAACAGGGGTTAGGCTAAGTGCTTTACATACAATACCTTAATCCCCATCATAATATCTCTATGAGATAGAACTATTTTTAGCTGTATTTCACAGATGACTGAATTGAGGTTTGCTGCTGCTGAGCACTGCTAACCCGTTCCTACTTATAGTGACCCTATATGGTTTCTGAAGTGGTAACTCTTTACGGGAGCAGAAAGCCTCATCTTTCTCCTGTGACGCAGCTAGTGGACTGGAGCTGAGGACCTTGCAATTAGCAGCCCAATACGTAATCCAAGGCTTGTTGTTGGTGTTAAGTGCCGTCGAGGCGGTTCCGACCCATAGCGACCCTGTACAGGGTTTCCGAGGGTGTAAATCTTTATGGGAGTAGAAAGCTTCATCTTTCTCCCGCGGAGCAGCTGGTAGTTTCGAACTGCTGACCTTAAGGTTCGCAGCCCGATTCATAACCACTATGCTGTGGTAAAATATCTTGTCCAAAGTCAAATGCTATGTAGTGAGCTGATGAAAGCTGCTTTAGGTCTGTGGATACAGTATCCTGGTTTCCTGGGCTATAGACTAGGTATCTGACTGAGTTTGCTGTCTAGGAATCAAGCAATTGCTGGTGTCCGATTGGATCCTTGGTTTTGCAGTCATGGTAGCGGTTCTTAGCAAGACACCCACCCCTTCACCACCCCAGGCCCTCAGAGATATACTCCAGAGGGGTTAACTTTCCCTTCCCAGCTGTGTCCCCATTACAGCCTGAAGCCTTCAGGTGGGTGTTTGAGAGACAAGTTAGATAGAATGGAGGGAGGGTGTTTTATTTGGGGAAGAAGAGGGATAGCAGAATAAAAACAAGGTGTTTACTCATCCAACTACATTGAGCAAGTCTTGTAGGTAGTGTCTGTGCATGACTTTGCCTGTATGTTTGTGTGTGAGTGGTGTCTGAGGAGTGTGTTGTGTCTGTAGTTTTGTTTTTCCTGGCTGTGAAAATGGGAATGCTTTAGGTTGGTGGCAACCCAAGGTTAGATCTTAGATGATGAACTGTGCTTGAAAATTCCCATCGCCATCTAGTTCATTCTGACTCATATGGACCAACTGCCCCACAAGGTTTCCAAGGCTATAATAACCTTTACAGAAGCAGACTGTCACATCTTTCTCTCATGGAGCAGTTGGCAGATTCTAACCAGTGACCTTGCAGTTAGCAGCCAAGTTCTTAACCACTGAACCACACAGTTTCTTGAAAAGAAACTTGGCTAAGTGTTCACAGCCAATAAGAGAAATAGAATTCAGATCCAGAAATCTGGCTTCAAAGACCCTGCCCTGTTCATGATCTCAAGTTCTTTCTCAAGCTAATGAAGGTGGATTCTTCAAAAATATCTGGGATGATTTAGTTCACTCTGTATAAGCATTTTTCTAAATAATATTGCTTATTTTGAAATATTTAGAAAGTATTTAAATATTTAAAGAAGTCAAGCATTATTCTTTATGATAAGTACTGAAAATATTAGGTAATTTTCTTCCATTTTTTAAATCCAAATATACACTATCAATAAAATTAGAATAATGTAGTTTTGTATTTTGCTTTTTCATTTAATATTATCTCATAAACATTTCCTTATGTCATGAAATAGTCTTTGTAAACAATTATTTTTAATTATTAAATAATGTTCCATCAGGGTCCTGATGCGGCACTATAAGATAAACATCGGATAGCTAACTGAAAAGTCAATGATTCAAACCCATCAGCTGCTCTTTGAAACCCTATATAGGATCGCTATAAGTCACAACTGAGACTCATCAGCACTTAACAACAACAATGTTCCACCATGTGGATGGACCATAATTAATTTTTAAGTCTTTTATTATTGTTTAAATAGCCATGGTATTTTCAAAAGCCTCATATGCATGTGAAAGTTGGACAATGAGTAAGGAAGACCATAGAAGAATAGATGCATTTCAATTATGGCGTTGGAGAAGAATAGTAAAAGTAACATGGATTGCCAGAACACACAAATCTGTGTTGGAAGAAGTACGGACAGAATGCTCTTTAGAAGGCAGGATAGCAAGATTTCATCTCTCATACTTGGGAAATATTATCAGGAAGGACCTATCCTTGGAGGACAGACATCATGCTAGGTAAAGTGGAGGGTCAGTGAAAAAGAGGAAGACTCTGAACAAGGATTTGGCACAGTGGCAGCAACAATGGGCTCAAGGGTAACAATTGTGAGGATGGTGCAGTGTTTCGTTCTCTTGTGCGTAAAGCTACTATGAGTGGGAGCCGACTTCATGGCACCTAATAACAACAACAATTTAGTTTGTTAGGGAGCTTTGGGGGAACAGAGGTGAAAGCGTTGGAGTGATAACTAAAACGTCTGCATATTGAACCTTCCAGATGCTCTAAGGAAGAAAAATATGGCAGTTGGTTTATGTAAAGATTTGTTGTTAAGTGACGTCAAGTCGGTTTTGACTCATAGGGTTTCCCAAGCTGTAAATCTTTTGGGGAGCAGAAAACGTCATCTTTCTTTACAGAGCGGCTGGTGGACTCGAACCACTGACCTTGCTAGCCACTGAACTGCTAACCGCAGTTCCAGTGAGAGAAAGATGAGGTTTTCTGCTCCCGTAAAGATTTACAGCCTCTGAAACCTTATACAGTTGTTATGAATCGACTGGATGGCACACAGCCATTCAAATGCAACATACCAGAAGGGTCCTACTTACCAGCAGAAGAGTAGAACCCTCACCAAGACTGAGTATTATTAAAACACCTGGGTACGTTTTGAAAAAGAGAATGTCATGATTCACCCACAGGGGTTGCCTAGTGTGGAGAGGATTGCAGGGCAAGACAGGGCAAAGACACCAGTTAGGAAACGGTTGTAACGATCCGGCTAGGACGTGATGGGAGCTCCAGGTAGGCAGTAGGGATTGAAGAGACGCAAGCACGCACTGAACTCGTTGAATATTGGATGGAGGGCTGTGCTGATAGGACGATTCTGCGCCATGTGGGGTGCAGGAGAGGGAGGAGATTACTGGTCCTGTGCTGTCAGTTCGGCTCCCTTCTCTACACAACTCGTTGAGATCGCCCGCGGCGCGACCCCTCCCACTCCTTTAACAGTGACCCGCCCCTTTAAGGCGAGCGCCTGCGCGCTCTCCGGCCCCGCCCTTCGGGGGCGCGCGCGGCGGCTGCG